CTTTACTGCTCGAAGGGCAAGCCGTAGGCAGTCTTCCGGAATCCGTAGGCTACCTTAGTGCACTCAGCAGCAGCTTTAGGATTCCAGGGCAGCTGTCCATCGAATGTACTGCGTAATGTGCCCTCTCCGTCTCTAGGGCCCGGTTCCCCACGGATTAGGCCAAGAGACCCAAAATCCTTCAGTTAGCTAAGCCTTGAAAAAGACCATTGCGGCTACTTCTAGGAATCCCGACGTAAGCCATCGTGCATCTAGTTATACTAGGGCAGCCAAGCTCATCCACGTCTGGATATTCAGAGTGTAAAGTTTATCCTCCCGTCTTGGAGAGCTGACCATTATGGGTGTCGGGGAATTGGTTTACCCTCTCGCATTGGAGAGCAATTAGTTTACCCTCTCGCACTGGAGAGCATGGTTGGTCCCTCGGGGGGCGCAATTCCTGCGATTGGTCCCTAAGAAGGGCGCAGTCTTCTTTTGAAGTGTCGGAGTGATCAGTTGTTATAAGCATGCAGCCGAGCCAAGTTGTGATTACTTCTGAATTCCTCATTGAAAAACGAGTGAAACGAACGAGAACTTAGCTGTAAGGTAGGAACTGCATAACAACTGGATAGTCCTCGACTTGTGAGGTGGTGCCCGTCGAGCTTCTTGAGTCTTCGAGCTTTGATGTAGTGGGAGGTCACACATGATTCTTCTTCAGATTGTAGGCGCTCCACTACTTTTCGATCTTTTTATCGTTTCATGGTAGCGGGGGTATAATTACTCTTGCCGCCTATTCTGCTGAGCTTGTACAAACCTTCCCAGATAAGATCCATCTTTTTTTATGTTTCAGCATGCCTATTGCCTTGAGGATATCTCGGCATGGACATATGCTGCTTGATGCCATATTTTTGGAAGAACTTCGCCAAATCTTTGCCCACGAATTGCAGGCCGTTGTTGCTGACGATGGATTAAGGGATGCCAAATCGGTAAATGATGTTCCTCCATATGAAGCGCTCTATGTCCGTCTGAATTGTGGTCGTCATGGGCTCTGCTTCCACTTATTTGGTGAAGTAGTCGGTTGCCACGAACCACGGCTGCTCGCGAGCCTTTGTAGTTGGATGCGCCGTTGACATGCGAATGCCAGAAATCTCCATTGAGGGAATATGTGCGGCTAAAGTGTGAACGACTGCCCTTCGGGGCATCGTTGGGCCGAGTTGTTACGTTCGTCAGAAAACTTTGCATCTGCCAGGGTCTACGCCTTTATCACCGCCGGTTTAGATTCGGCGGAATAGCGTCATGATGATGACTGCAGGTAACTGTAGAATACAGGTAGTCGGGCCCCCAGCTCTTCTCGCATGATGGTAGAGCTTATTGCTACTTTAGATACCGTCAAACATGCGAACCTCCGCTGCTTCTAGGGAGGTGATGTCGGGTACTTCTTCAAGTCCTTGAATATGCATTGGCGAGCCTCGTCCCAAAGTGCATGCTTCTCTGCTAAAGCAAAAGAGTCTGCCAGAGTTAGATCTTCTTTCATGATCAATTTTCCGAATAGCGGGTGGTCTGCTGGAAGTCCTTTTTGGAAGGCTGCTCTAGCTATCGAGTCGTTGCATCCGACTATTTTTACCTTCTCTACTTTGAACCTCCTCACATAGTTGCGAAACGACTCCTTTGGGTTCTTCTTGACGTCGAACAAATGGTCAGACTTCTTTTTGATCGAGCGATAGGATGAATATTCTTTGGTGAAAACCAAAGAAAGTTCGTAGAAATTCCGGATGGATTGTGGCGGCAGGGTGTAGAACCAATCTTGCGCCTCGCCTTGTAGAGTGGTGGCGAATATCTTGCACATGAGATCATTGTTGTTTCGATAAAGGATCATTGCACTTTGGTAACGTTTTAAGTGTTCTCTCCGGGTCTTCATCCCTTTGAAAGATGTGAAAGATGTGAAATGATGAATGCATGTGGCATGCTGAACTCGCGTGGAGGCTCTGCCTGCTCGATCTCCTCCGTGAAGGGTGACCTGCTTATGTTGGTTATGTTCCGTCGTAGTGCCTCGTCGGTGACCTCGTTGCGTTGGAAATCATGTAATCGCTTGGTCAAGAGTCTCTCTACTTCTTCCTGAATTTGCCTTTGTTGGGGTAGCGGAGCTCTCGGCTGCCCCCAGTCATGACTTGCTGGTCTTGGCTGCTCTTCCATGTGTTTGGCTCGTCTATACCGCGGATGCAGTGCATGTGGTGCGTTCCTAGTAGGCGAGCGAGTTCTTCGCAGGCTGCTGGTTGAACTTGAGCTAGATTGAGTGACTGATTCTCTCCGTCCGTCGTGCTGCCTACTCTGATGTGAGGTGGATGACGGTTCTTGTGGGCTTAGCTGCGAATAGACACTTTGCCCGGAAGGTTGTTCATGTTGACTATCGGAGTATGACCCCAACCGTGAATGTATGCTCCTCCGTGGGCCTAGTCGAGAGTGCATGCTCCTTCGCGCTCTAAGACGGGAATGTACACTGCCCAAACGTTCGGCTCGTGGCTGGTCGAGTGGCTGCTTGCCGGGACGCTGCTGGAAATGTCCGTCTGCACGTTGGATCCCAATGCGTTGCAAAAGTTGATTCACCAAGGTTGTCTGTTGTGCAAGGGCGCTCGTCAACTCTATGACTTGTCAAGACAAGTGTTGTTCGCCATTTGGATTGGAAGAGCTTGGAAGGAATGCGCCTCCTTAGGCAGTGGAAGAGTGGTAGACTCCGGGCGCGAGATTTGAGTTGGGAAATGTCAAATCCGCTAAAAAATATGGTGAGAATGCTCCCGGCTCGATAGTAGGTCCAGATGGTTGAGATAGTCTTGGGCCGACTTGGGCTGCTTGGAAAGCCACGGGAGCAGTTTGGGCCTTGAGAGTGGGCTGCTCGTCGGGAGTAGGCTGGGTCACGAGAGCAGACTGCTTGGCAGGAGCAGGTTGGGCCGTGAGAGTGGGCTGCTCGACGGAAGCAGGCTGGACCACGGGAGTGGGCTGCTCGTCGGGAGCAGGCTGGGCCACGAGAGCAGGCTGCTTGGGAGGAGCAGGCTGGGCCACGGGAGTAGGCTGCTTGACGGAAGCAGGCTGGACCACGGGAGTAGGCTGCTTGTCGAGAGCAGGCTGGACCACGGGAGTGGGCTGCTCGTCGGGAGCAGGCTGAGTCACGAGAGCAGGCTGGGCCACGGGAGTGGGCTGCTCGACGGAAGCAGGCTGCTCAATGCGCGGTGCATGTGAATGCGAGGCTTGGGCTTGGGTCCACGTAAACTTGGATGGCACGGCTTGGGTCGTGGTCTTGGTACCGTGAGCCTTGGATGGCACGGCTCGGGCCGTGGTGAAAGCTCCATGGACCTCGCCATGAATGGCTACCGAAGTAGCCACCGCGGTGGTTCCCATGGTGGCCGTGGTGAAGGCACCATGGACCTCGCGGTAGCCACCGCGGTGGTTCCCATGGTGGAAACTTGTGGTGGTGATGCCGCTCCCCTTATTGTCGCATTTTGCCTCACGGATCTCCGCAATCCCATTTCTTGTATATTAGAATTTTCACTTATGGAATTTTCTAAAATTTCTAGCCCATTATATTTTGCTTTATACGTTTTATCAAAGAACCTTTGCAAGTAAAAAATTCTAATAATAAGAACGTATGAAAAATATTCAAATGGACTAGAAAATAAAGAAAAAACCTTTTTGTGCGAGAGTCTTCCACGAGTATGGATTTCAACTCTCAATGAAAGCACCAATTTGTGGATGCAAATTTTCTCCTCTTCGATCTTGGACGATTTTGCCACCTACAAAACAACTAGCACCTTAGGTTAAGGCCAAGAGCCTCACGCGCCCACGGGATGAAATGGGGGGGGCTTTGGCCGAAGAACCTCCGATGCCAAAGTTAGAATTTTAGAGAGAAATAGTGTTTAGAATATTTGGGATTTTTTTGTAAGAGAATTGGAACTAGTGTTTTTGTGAAAATGGGACCCCAATTTATAGGAGAGGAAATGGTGATTTATTTTGGGGGGTTATGGAGAATAATGGGGCTAGTTATTTTTTGGGGAGTTATGGAAATAATTGGCTAGTTAATTAGCAAATAGTAATAACCTAATTAACTAGCTATTTGAATGTCATAAAAAGGGGGAGAAAATGGCAGCAACAAACAGAAAATAAAGGGCATGGCCGGCCCTAGTGGGTTTTGGTTATAATTTGGAGGTTTAGTTGATAATTAAGGGATTGATTAGGTAATTAATCCCTTAATTAGTCAATTTTAGGAAATATGAAAGGAATAAGTATATTATTTAGCTAAATAATGAAATGGGAAATATATGAATAAATTAGGTTTTAAGTTGATACCTATTTTAGGCACTTTTGACTTGGTTGAAGGATAATTGTCTGCTGATTGCACGTAGGAATCCCGGTATACCTCAAGGGTAGTTTTGTCTTTTTTTGTCAAAAATCCACGTGTCGCCTTATGATTATTTTTGGCTCCACACAACTCACTCGAAAACGCAGTCTATTTTCATAGTCTTTACGATAATTATCTTTTGCATAAATAAATATAATAAAGACGAGAATTTTATGTTTAATCGACTACTCAATCTTTTTCTACTCAAGAACTAGTACTACTTGTTAGTTGTTTTCTTGTACGATCAGTATTAAATCACCAAAGGCTTTCAGTGAACTATTGAAGCTATCGAGAGAGTACCAAATGCTGACAGTGACGAAGGTTACCGATGTCTCATAATATTTCCTTTTTCAATTTAGGGAAAAAAAGAAGAAGATTGTATGTTTGTTGTATATTTAAAATATATTTTGAAAGGACAGAAGATATTTTCCCCTTCAATACAATTATGAAGGCTTTGGCCATTTGGGGAAATTTGCAACGTATTGTTCAAGGGAATCATGAATGCAGCAGCTGCACTGCACAATTAACCCCAACAACAATCGACCTGAAACTAACAGAGAAGGACCATATGCACCCCAACAACCGTTACTTATGCGAAATATCTACAAAACTCAAAAGACCAACATTAACTCAGAAATGCAGAAGCTTGCCTGCTCGAGGGCAAGGTGTATGTGAATCGTTCACTACAATTGTCGATTCAAAACACACGCACACCCTTAAAGCAAAAACACCACCAGTTCAAGCAAATCAAATCAAAGCAAAACATCGATCCAAATTAATAGGCGCTGCACAGATGATTCTCCAAGGCGAGTATATGCAAAGGACAACCAAATTAAGCACAGAAAACACGGAACTATCTAGCTTAATTATTCCAAGACATACGTGGGTCCACAACAACATATTTGTAACCTAGAGCACTAAAATGAAACGGTAATTCAAAAGCTGCAGCACACATGCACCCAGTCCTCCTCAGCAAAAGTTGCAGCACACATGCACCCAGTCCTCAGCTTCAGCAATCAGCAAGTGGTATATCATCGAGCAAACAGGGGTGCAAGGGCGCATCCCCTCCATTTTCCTCAAGTAGTTTTTTAAAATGCGGGCAGTCATTAAGCATGTGGGTACCAATCTCATAACAATAAACACACTCAAGGAAAACAGCACGCCCCCACTTTACTACATAGCCCTTGCCAACCTGAGTTACGCCCTTTGGGAGCCGTTTCCTCCAGGGGCACATACCAGGAAAGTGTCCATACTCAGAGCAAATTGGACAAGTAGACGGCATAGAGGAAAATGTGCCTGGCTTGATTATGAGTTTAGGACGGGCTAGGCATGTGGGATTATTGTCCTCCTTGAGAAAAGATGGAAGAGTATTCTTCTCCTCAAGCTGGAGTTGAATCTGAGAGTCTTGAGCAGCCTCTACTTTTGTGAGATGAGTCGTCGGAGAGTCTTTAACAGAAATTTTTTCTTTATTCTTATCTGCGTCTGTGTTTTAGAGAAAATGTACAGATACATTAATTAGTGGTGGACCAAAGATTTAGCTCATGTGGGGCATAACAAACAAAAACAAATTAACTAAATATGTTTCAACAAATTATGAGAGCGAGGACATTCATAACTTGAGACCACTTTAATATTAGAAAGAGAACAAACACTATACCAATACCTAATAACTGGTAAGATACCTAATATATGAAAGTAAAAAAATTTGACCTTTCACAATTAATAGCATTTTTAATAAGTTAATCACAATTAATAGCATTTTTAATAAGTTAATTTACAATTCCCACTCTCACACTCTCAGAAATATAAGAGGTCGCACTTGGTGCGATGGCAAGTGCCTTCGCCCATGAGCTGTAGGTCTCGGGTTCGAGACTTGGGAGCAGCCTCTCCATAAATGGGGGTAAGGCTAGCCGACATTCACCTCTCCCAGACCCTGTGTAAAGCGGGAGCCTTGTGCACTGGGTACGACCGACACTCTCATAAATATGAAACACGTTTTCAATGGAGAACTGAAAAACTGCTACTCTCCCCATTCATACTATTCTCAAACACAACATCATAAAAGAAACGAGAAGTTCGCGAGGGAAGATGAAACTAAACGAATTGCAATCCCTATGTGGGTGGGTAATTCCTACAGGTATGTCTCAGACTTTTCCTCCCGATAGTTCTTAAAGTTCTAAAAGCTCTGTAAGTTCTGCTTTAACCGTGTAAGTATTATCTTCCCAAGTTCTATAAGTTCTGCTTTAATTTTGTTGACAGGAGTTAAAAAGAATTTCGTGTTTCTGACATCTGAAGCAGCAAAAGCAGTCCTCAAGAAGACAGTGTGATACTTAATTGATTGAGAAATGAGTATCGAGCTTAGCTACACAATTCGGTTTAAAATTCATTGTAAATTAAATCTCTGGCTATTAATAATTAAACACTAAAAAAAAAAATTAGGCATCAAGTCAAGCAAAACCTTAAAAACAGGGTGCACAGATTGCAACAAACATATGCAGCCGGAATTGAAATGCATGAAACCCTAATTAAACATAATGCTGCTGCCAATCTTCCCCTAAAAGCAAAAATTGAAACAGATAATCGCCCCCTCACAAACCCTAAAACCTAAAATTGAAAAGAATAACAATACTAGGAGTCCGAATCTCACCTCGGAGCTTTGTGGGTTGGGCCGGAATTGGATTCTCCCCCTCCGCGGATTCTCCTGATCCGCCTTCGAATCGGCGTTTCATTGTTTTGTGCTTGTCACAGAGAGAGATGTTTGGCGGCAATGCTTATTTTTCTGAATAGTTTTACTTAAACTTTCAACGATTTGACTATAATACCCTTCTCGTTTAACAAATTATGTTTTCTTTTCCTTATTTCTATTTATTTTGCTTGTAAAATTAATCATGGTTAAATTACATTTTACGCTCTCAAGTTTGATGTCAATTGTAACTTCATATAATATTTTTAAAATATTTTAATTTCATAATTTCTTTCCAGTTTCATACATCCGTTAAAAAATCTGTTAAGTGATGACGTGACAAATATAGAGTCCACATTTATGCTGATATGAATGCCAACCTTGCACCCTGTGAATTAAAAATAATGAAAAAGGATTAGTTAGTAAAAAATCAATTTAGGTTTTAATTAAAAACTTTAAAAAATTGAAAAGATGATCTTGGGCAAAGCTTGCCCCAATAACCCCATCTCATCCTCAACTCCATCCCATTTCCTCTGTGCTTGTCTGCAACCAAAAATTTGATTCTTGGTTTGGGAAGCTTCTTTCACCGCCGCCACCTCCTTGATTCGAGTCCATCCCCATATGCATGTTCGTCTCTAATAAGTCCGTCAACGACATCCTTACCGGCTTTGTCGTCCCCGACACCGCACCCTGCATGGGACTACTTTCTATAAAGTGCTTTAGGTGGCTCTACTACTTCCATCTCTCCCGATGACACGTTATTTCCCATTTATTCTCCCCCCTCGTCGACTTCCTCCAACTCTTTATTATGTTTAAAACTAATTAGAAAAAGAGACAATTGTACGAGGTTTGAATGAAATATTAAAAAAAAGTATGTGAATGAAATGTTTTAAAGATGTATGAAATTGCAATTATACTCAAGCAAAAATGGGCAAAATGTAATTTACCCTTGTTTTTAAATTTATATGCATTTAATTATTAGTGCTACTAGAAGACCAACCTCATTGTCCTATTTCACCACCCCATTATAATCTCACTCACTATAAAAATTAAAATTAAAATTAAAATCCTATTTTTCCACCCACTATTAATCCTAAAATAACCTTTATCACATCACCACACCATTATTATCCTCTTGGGAAATTTTATTTAGACTCATTTATTCTCTTTTTACACCCAACTTATTATTTTTTATCTTGAAATTCTGAATGTGCCCAACAATTCTCTCTTTCCACTCAAAATGAAAAAAAAAAATAATAATAATAATAAGCACTAAGAAACTCCTGCCATCCCATCCCTCCAACTTCCAACCACTCTCAATTTCTACCCCTCTCCAACCCCCCACAACCACATTCCCTACCACCCACAATGAAAACCCCAAATATCTCAACCATCACTATCCCCATCTAATCTTTATTGTTTGTACATTCTCTCTTGCTGCTCAAGCATGCAGAAACTACAAGTATTTCTAGGTGATGGTGGTATCTCTGGGCGTTTACCATAACTCTCAACTTCGATCCCAGCTAAGCCAGTGGCGAAGCCAGGATTTCCCGGACGGAGGGGCGGACTTAAAAGAGTGCAAGGTTAAAGAAAAATGGAGATAGTGTCTACGAATTGCTTCACGATAATTATGTGGATAATCAAGCATTCGAAGTCTATATGCAGGGTCTGCAGGAAGATTAGCCAATATTTCATCCAACTCAGTGGCATCACTTTGTTGTGATCTACTCGGAATATTCGAAGGAGGACTTCTTGGAATATTTGAAGGAGGAAGAGGACTACTCGGAATATTTGAAGGAGAAGGACTACCCGAAATGTTTGAAGGATGATTTAAGCATTGTTTCTTATAGTATCATTCCATTACGTAACTGTAAAATGGAAAGAAAAAAAAAAATATCTTAAACTTTTAATCCTAGAGTAAACTATACTATAGTGTGCATAATAACTAATCCAACCTAACAATTCAATTAATAAATACCAATAAACATACAAATTATTTGATAAATAAAAATTCAATTCAACTAATCATATGAATACAACTAATCAATTCAACCAATAATCAAGAATTCAAATTTTTTTTCACCCTAAAAAATATTTTCATATCAATAATCATAGAGTCATATCAATAATCAATAACCAATAACCATATTAGTGCATTATCATATGATTCTATACCAATTAACAAAATTCGTATTAAATAATTAATTAGGGTTAGGGATTATAAATTTAGGAAATAAAAAATTTACCTTTGATTGAAGCTGGAAGTCGCGGCTCAGATGAATAGTGACTAGTGTTATGGCTGCAAAAAGCCAACGGGAATCAAGATCAACCTTCCTAACGTTTCCATTCTGTTGGGCTGGGAGTGGGCGTTGGCTACTGGGAGCAAAGCTGCTCTCTCTCTCTCTCTCTCTGATTGGTGAATGAGAGAGGTTGAAGGGTTTGAGGGAAGTGGGGACACGGGGACATGCAAGCGGCGTTTATTTTAAAATTTTTAATTTTTTTTTACCAGGACCAAAACTATGTCGTTTTGGCCTGGATGTTTTAAAAAAAATAAAATTTTGTTGCTGCTGCTGCTCGCAGCAGAAACAGAACACCGGAAACAGAGGGCTGCACCAGTCAGTTTGCCGGCGAGGGGAGGGGCTGAACCCAGCTCTCCAGTGGTGTTTTCCGACAAGGGGAGTGGCGGCCGCCACTCCTCGCCCTCACGTGGCTTCGCCACTGAGCTAAGCTTTAGATACACCATATGGGTGAATCAATTGTTGGCACAACATAAAGACCCAAACGTAGAACGACTCAAGGCTTGCTTCCTTCTAGGTTTTTGCAATGGAAGTTCCATTCATAGTTGGATTCAGTTTGCATTAGAAAAGAGAGTTCAAACAATTGAGTTGGAGTTTTTCGCTGACGGTTTTGCTAGCTTCCAACGATATGCATTTGCCCGCAAGCTATTATGTATTAGTATCAGAGCAAATAATGAAATAAAGGGTCTATGTTGGAGCAGTTCTTGCATTATGCATGGGAGAACTTAATGAGTTTTGACAATCCAAGTCTACACTCTTGTAGACACACTCCCTGTTTCAAGTCCCTCAAAGTTCTTCATTTGCGACAAATTAGAGTGAGTAATGAGGTTCCCGAATACCTTTTGTCTAACTGTCCAGTCCTTGAATGACAAGTTAGAGTGAGTGATGCCTAAGATCTTTGGAGTTTTCGTTGTGGGTGGTAGGAGAGGTGGCAGTGGGGGGTTATGGACGGGTAGAAATTGGGAGTGGTTGGGGTTTGCAGAGATGGGGTGGTCGAAATTTCTTAGTGCTGTAATTTTACTTTTTATTTATTTTTTTGTTCTTTTTCATTATGGGTGTAAAAAAACATTTGTTGGGCACTTTCGGAATATCAAGACAAAAAAAGATAAGTTGAAAGTAAAAAGATGATAAATGAGTCTCAATAAAATTTCCCTTTATCCTTATCCTATTTCCACCCCTAGTCTCTCCGGAACTTCCTTTAGCAGCAAAATGCGTTACTTTGGCAACCCAAAATCCTAGAATCGAATACCTGAATTAAACTTGTGAAAATCAGGAATTTTAATAGACTAAGATTACCTTCAACTCAACAACGCCCATAGAAAAATCAGTATTAGCGGACGTAAAGCATTCCATGATTCCTTAACAACTGACAGATACACACTTGCATCGAGAAAATCGATCGACAGAGGTCCAAGTAGAAGAGAAAATGCAGCAGGAAAATGAAGGAAACTAACCTGGAGAAAGGTGTAGTCTTTCAAAAATTATTGTCTAGTGCAAGTATGAGAGCACGAAAATGTGGACCGCAGAAAAGAAGACAAGTAACCTTGCAGTTGTTCTTCTCAAATTCCATTCTCAATCTTGTTCCACAAGCTATGAATCTCTAGATTCGGTATTACTGCATCAAATCACTTGCTGCTCAAGCATGCAGCAGCTACAAGTATTTCTAGGTGATGGTGGTATCTTTGGGCGTTTACCATAACTCTCAACTTCGATTCCAGCTAAGCTTTAGATACGCCATATGGGTGAATCAAGTGTTGGCGCAACCAGTGACGGATCGAGGATTTTAACATAGGGTGGTCCCAATATAAAAGCTCCAAAAAAAAAAAAGGGACGAAAATATCATTGAACAAATAAATCGCAAACTACAACTTTTCATTTATAATCTTTGTGCTAAACAAGCTAGAAATACTAAATTTGTCCACGACGGGATTTCATACTTCGAAAACATGTCATGATAGTTTCATTGTCAATACAAGAAAAAACTTATTTCTCAATGTAAACAACTAAGCTATCATTTAACTATTGATCCTCCATTATGTAACACAATCTTCAACAAAAAAATTGTATCAACTAACACTAAAAATAAGTAAGAACTAACACTAAATTAGAAAACTTACAGAAATTCTAAAGTTGATGCTGATGGCGTTCAGCAAATCGGCTGGTTTGGGCTCGGTCTCAGAGGAAGTATTTTCTGCCGTCAGTCCACCCATTTCTCAAAGTTCTTGAAGACCTAATAGAAGTATGCTAACCAAGAAAAAAAACAAAGAACATCAGCTTCGGCTCGGTCTTAGAGCAGCCTTGATGTTAAACATATATCCATTAAGGACGGATACACCATATCTTACCTAAACAGAGAGAATGGAAAAGAGGGATATGGCGTCTTACTTTATAAAAAAAAAACATCCAAAAATTCATTGATCACACATTAGCCTAATCGCTAGGCACTAGCTCATGTAAATAAAGGAATTCACCGTACAGGAAAAACTCGTTTATTTAAGCATGCAATGAGTTCAGATCAACTAAACGACGCCTCTAAATTCCACTAAATACATGAAAGCAATAAACTGAGACCAACACTTTCATATCATAGCAAAGGTGAACCAATTTAAATACTGAAGCAATTCAACCAATCTCCCAAAGTAATAATAAGAGCCTATTTACTAGCTTCTTTCAGCTTCAAAAGGGAAACCCATTTTCCTACTATTTACTTGAATTAAAAAATCCTCCAAACGGGAACTAATCAACAGAAGGAACTCGAAGCAAAAAGCCTAGATGAAGAAATAAACTTCTTCA